TTGGACTGTGGAACAGTATTTGTATTATTATTTAACAATTTCTTACATTTCTACCTTAATTATTTTACAGAACTATATAAAAAGCAAAAAAAAAATCCCCTTTTTTTTTTTTTAGAAAAAAATAATTTTTAAAAATAAAAAAAAAAAAAAAAAAAAAAAAAAAAAAAAAAAGAGTGTGAGCTAGGTAAGATGAAACCATGAAGTAGACTGAGAATGAGTAACAATGAACTAGGAAAGATCACCTTCTTCCATGCAGATTAAGGAAGAATAGTTTCAAAGCAAGAGCAGTTAACTGAAAAAGAACATGAGAGTTAAAGTAGCTTAAAATTTAAGATTAGTGAGAACTTTAGCAAAAGGAATTTTAGTTGTATGTGGTAAACCCAAACAAACAACAGTACAAAAGTTTTTAAATACATGGGAGGTAAAAACAAACAACTCCAGAGATTTTCATGAAAGAACTAGTTTTTCAATAAGCTTTGCTTAGGACAGGAAAAACATAAGACAATATAGCTAGGGGTGAGATAGATTTAATTGTGATTTTTTTTTTTTTTTTTTTATGCTGGAAGACATTTAAGCAAAGCAGAGAGACTATGCTGACAGAGGTGAAAGAATATAGATATGTAATAGAGTTATTATTGCTGTTGCTGTTAAGTGCAGTCAAGTTGGTTCTGGCTTACAGTGAGCCTGTATAGGGTTTCCGAGGAAAAGCTGGTGAGCTTGAACTGCTGACCTTGTAGTTCAAACTGACGCGGCAGTCCATCGCCTTAGCCCACAGCTCTGAATAAGAGGAAGTAGTGCTTCTTCACTGGGACAGAACTGAAAGATGCTAAGAATAGATCCAAACTTAAGGAAAGTTGGAAAAAGAGAGCAGGACACTTGAAGGAAGTTTCTGTTATGAACTCATTTCCTGTTTTAGAGGCAAGATCAATTTCAAAAACAGAATGGGTCAGAGGCAAGAGTGGGAACATGAGAAGAAAAGTTAGAATGCCTTCTGTGAAAGATGGAAGAAGCAGCTAATTGGGAATTAATACAAGATTTTGCTGCTCAGAGTTGACATCTATTCTAACATAGCAACACACAGACAGCTAGAACAAATCTGGATAATCTGTACATAATATTACTTATGTATCAGACATGCTGCCAATTCTCCGCTCAGGGTGGTCACATCTGATCTCAGTTTAGGTAACAGCTTATTAAAGTGGGTCCAGGTTCAAAGTCTACTGAGAGTTACTTTGGAACTAAATTACAAAAGAGCAAAGCTTAGATAAAAATTAGAGCTATTTTCTTGTTTGCTTGTTGTTCTGCTAAATGCTGTCAAGTTGGTTCTGACACATAGCAGCCCTACATAGGGCTTCCAAGGCATGACTGGTGGGTTTGACTGCAGACTTTGAGGTTCACAGTCCAGTACTTACCCTTCAGCATTCTTACCATGTATGATTGTGATAGGGAGGGCTTGGGTTCGCAGTTCCTCCTCTTCACCACTTTCGTGTGATGTCATCATTTGAGCAATTCGAATCAGAGCTGCAGCTTGGTCTTTGTTTAACTTGTGTACTTGAATTAACTCACTAGCTAATTCTAATGTTATTTCTGGGCTTAGTTCAAATTTTGTATTGGTATTTGTGAAAGCTGGTGGGATAAATTTTTTTTTATTGACTCTCTTGTTGTTAACTGTAGTTGGTGAAGACCTAGGAAAAAAGCAGCAACAAAAGGTCAAAGAAAAATGAGGGGCTTTTAAACAGGTTATAAACCTATTCATAATGTAGCCTTCATCTTATAAGCCTCACAGAAAACATTTTTTAAGGGTATAAATCAATTTCAAAGAGGGTGGAAGAGGAGAGAACTAACATTTGTTGAATATTTACTATGTTCTGGCACTATGCTAAGTATTTTACATGTGATTTAATGTAATCTGCACAATAATTCTATGAAATAAATCCATCTTTCTCCCCAGAGCAGCTAGTGGATTTGAACTGCTGACCTTGCAGGGTAGCAGACCAACGCATAACCCACTATGCTACATAGGCACAGAAATATTAATAAGCCACTCCCCCCAAAAAGCACACAGCTGATATGTGTTGTTGTTATTGTTAAGTGCCGTTGTGTCAGTTCTGACTCATAACGACTCTATATAGGTTTTACAAGGAGGGGCTGGTGGATTTGAACCACCAACCTTGTGGTCAGAGTGCAGTGTTTATCCTTCAAGACTGACTTTAAAACCTGTGTTCTATTATACAAAGCTGACTGAGATCATTAATACAGCTTCTATTTCAGGTAAACCAACACTAGATAAGTTGGTTTTACTTATATTTCTATAAAGATTGAACTAATTTTCACATCAATAAATAACAAAAAGGAATCATAAGGATATGTATCTCTTTACATAGGTTTTCATGGTGAGAAAAATGAAACAGGGTAAGTAGTAACATTACAAATTAGAAGACTTTTTTCTATCATTTTAATGTATGTAATATTAAATCACTTGTAATTTTTAAATAGGCATAATGCTTGAGAAATTCAAAATGAAACATGTTTCATTAAAATTAATCTGTCTTTTAAAATATTAAGTTTATTGTTAACATTTATATAATGTACTTTTATTGCATTTTTATATTCAATTTTTGTCACCACTCTTGAGTATTAATGACCTAAAGGAAGTAATGACTTACATTGTTAACAGGTGCTGTGTTAGGGGTAGAGTAGATGGATTAAAGTAGTTCTGAATGTTTTTCAAAGTGGTCAGCTCTGTGCTAGCATTACAAACCAATAGTGCATGGACCACTACTGTGGAAAGGATACAGAAAATGAACATTTAATGTAATTAAAAAGAATCATTAAAAAAGAAAGAAAAAACTCTGTATTAATTATCAACATAACTCAGAATTCAGCTACTGAATTAATCCCATGACATAAAGTAAAACATTAAATACATGCAGAGGTCCTCAAACTTTTATGCATTAAAGTACTACACTATTTGTTCACTCATACTTTATATACTGACAACCGTAAATTGCATAACTTAAACTTAACCTCCAAACATCAGCAAATGAACAAGAACAACTGTTTTAAAGAAGGGTAAGGACAGTTGCACAACTCAAAGAATGCAATCAGGTCACTGGGTTGTACATGCAGAAATTGTTGCATTGGCATTATTTTGCAGTGTATAGTCTGAACAGCAAAAGCAAACTAAACATTTTTCAAAAGAATGATTGTTTTTAGTTGTTGCATAGAGTCACTACTTGAGACGAACACTTCCACTCAATCAGCATACTGTCTTGGACTGTGGAACAGTATTTGTATTATTATTTAACAATTTCTTACATTTCTACCTTAATTATTTTACAGAACTATATAAAAAGCAAAAAAAAAATCCCCTT